AAAGACTGTGGTTGCGACGAAGGATGAAAACGGAAACAGTGACGAAGGACATAAATGGAGACAGCGACGGAGAACAGTGCAGGAGACGGTGGACAAGTGGTGGCGGTGGTGGACAAAACCAGACAGCAACGGAAGATGGTGATGGAGACAGTGGACAAGTGGTGGTATGGACAAGTGGTGGTAGTGGTGGACAAAAACTTTAATGTTACACATCCTTAAAAGCAAATCCGTCATTCCAAATTTTTCAAACAGTGAATTGTGACATTTTCTTCAAACCATCAGATTTATGGCATTTTTTATAAGAAATTTGCCTAAAATGGCATTTTTGTAAAATTTTCTTGATTTTGTAGGCCCTCTGCAAAAAAAGATTTGGTAGTAATCAGTATATATTAAAATTTTAGGACTTTTTTATGAATTTTACAAAAATATAAAATCTTTTTTACTAATTTTACAACAATTTAGAATCTTTTTACAAAAAAACTTTTTAACTAATATTGTGGGATCCACGGTGGAACCCTGTGCAGAAGCACTGTCTGCACTCCATTAGGGTTGGGCCTGGCTTCATGGACAAGGAAAGACCATCTTTCGTCGATCTCAAAGATATACCGAATATATCACCTCTTCACGTCAAATTGGACGAGTTTCTTTGGGTATTGTTTTTCGTAATTGAAAAAGAAAATGTTTGCAATAAAGTTTGGAATGAATTGTTCTCACTTAGTCAAAATGATCGAGTATTTAGGGGATTGGTTTTTTCAATCAGAAATAGATAATTTTAGTCAAAATGTAGAGGATTATTAGAGGCGAATATGATCAACCAGAGGACAGATCGAAAGCCTTTGAGGAGCCACAAAACCCAGATTTGTCTCGTGGGAATAACATCAAACAGTTGGTGGGCAATTTTCCAGTTGAACCTTCTATGGCTCCATGGACTTCTGATGCTCCTATCGAACACCAAACTCACCAGATAAGGAGGATTCCAGTGCCATTCGACATGCGACAAAAAACAAAACCAGTAAGAAAGTCCGAAAAACCTTTGGGACATTTCGTCGAGCACTTGGTGGACGAGACTTCATATGATGCTTTTCCCAACTCTGAGTTTCCCAAGGATCAAAACGGGAAAGATTTTCACATATATGGTGGATTCAAGGGTGAACGAGGATATTATAAGAGCATGATTATACATAATAAATATGTTTGAATAAATATATGAATTTTATAATATTAATTGTATTGGGATTGATGA